TTTCCTGGAGGCAGAAATGGTAATGTATAATTAATTAGTCCTTATTTATTAAAAGAATATTTTTATAATTACATTAAACAATTTAACAAGATATATGAAGCGTCAGTTAGACAAAGTGATGAGTTCTGATCAACGTTTTATAAACATTCCATTTCTTTTCCATTTTAGTTCGCTACCTATGGAAAAAAATCAATTTACAAAATCCTCTAATGGAATTCGGGAATAATTTTTTTTACACCTTGATACAGTATGTTTGAAATATATAAAATTCGGTTTGAAATTGTTGCCAAAACGATAAACACTGTAATATTTTTATTGCTACATTTACCAAGGCATGCTTTCTTTCTTTCTTTTTTTTTTTTTTTTTTTTGAGATGAAGTCTTGCTCTGTCACNTTTTTTTTTTTTTTTTTTTTTTTTTTTTTTTTTTGACTTCGTGCATCTGACATTTTCCACAAGAATTAAATGATGTATCAAACATTTCTAAACTTTTATTCAATATTTGGAGATTTTATAGGAATAATTTCCTTTTTTCAAGCAGTTATAAAGTGACATATATTTTTTGAAAAAAATGAGAAGTACTTATAAATTAACATAAAAATATAACTCTCACGAAACATTTAATTAAATTTTTTTAATGTTTGAAAATCGGGAAAGAAATACAAATTAATATGAAAGTAAAATAAATCGCATAAAAGAAAATGAAAACAAAATTTCAATCAATGAACTCATACATGAATATCACGTTTGATAACAAGAATATATACGTTGATATACGTTCCCTTTAAACCAATAAATAGAATTAATTTGTATGTACTATTTCTGAATGAGATAACAATTTATTTATTCTATTATTTAGTCAAATTTAAAATTCATAGATAGTAGATTTCTATTTTTACCGCTCGCGAAAATCACGCTAATATGAAAGAACTTCAAATATAAGGACCGTCACATTGAAATTTCAAATCATAATTCACGCAAATGATAAAGAAGGGAGAAAAATATTGCTTTTATCATTATTTAATCTCGCCAAATGAATCTCGCCGTATAAATTTGTATGAAGATTAGTCTAAATTCCACAAAACTCACCCAACCGTTATCAAATTATGTAAATTGTGAATTACATACTCTCTTTCACTTTCTGATACTCCATAGCAAGTTATCTTAGAGAGAAAAGGTACAATCTAATCTGCAATTGAAAAAAAAATCAACTGTCACAAACTAGCTCCACTTTCTACCAAGTTCAGAAATTGATGCCAAAGATTATGCCTTTAGGGCGTCTATAAATTTTGTCATGTGTATCTGGTTTGATACCCTTGTACGCAAATTCAACGCGGAATTGAAATAATTTCGATCATTCTAAGGTCAGGAAAGTGTGCCGATTTTGACCTTCGATTCCATGGCAAGAATTAGTGAAAGTGGTCACTTTTTCAGAACCCGGAAAAAAGTGACCGCACTTTGCATTTTTGTGGGGATATTTCTTCTGATTGGAGGACAGATTAGCTGAATGTCATCATTCAAAGTAATTGCTTCCGATGTTTGTTTTTGTTGAATGTGCTCGAATTTTCGATAACACCTGTAAGCTAGCCTTCAAAAAGGTAAACGCCTGAGAGTATTGCTCCGCTGTACCGAAATAGGTCATTAAAATGTCGGAAGTGACTTTGCATTAAAGGATGGTTATTAAAATTCCACAATAAAGAAGTTCAATTTTTTAGTATCGATTATTATTTTATTTCATTTTTTTATATTGCCGACGGAATTTGAATTTGACAGGTCACTGCACTTTTAAAATATTTAAAAAAAATAATATTTATTCAAAAATTTGTTGATGTAACAGAAAGTAGATAACAACAAAATAAATATAACTCGATGACTTTTAATTTGCTCGTACGAAAATACAAAACTAAAAACATTAATTATACATATTATTTGAAGAAAAAAAATCAATATACACGGATACTACTATTCATATTTCAAGCTGTAATTTTATTATCTTTTCCTGTCCGTGGCTTTGTAATTCATCACAAAACTACAAAGCTCAGTGTCCCAAACATAGCATGCAATAACGTGTTTATAATTTTTGTTTTCTTTGAATTAAAAATATCACCTAAGCCAAATATTATACATAGAATTTATTTTATTTATTGCTATTTTATTACTTGAACATTGATGTACTAGAAGAAAACAGGATAATATAATAGCAAAACCGATAACTACCCAACCTTGATTTCTTTGAAGAAAAAAAAAATCTTTTTTTTTTTCCTTCCCTTAGGTCAAAAGTAACATGAATTTTTATTTTTTACGTTATCATGAAAGTCTGAAATTCGGTGAATGTCAACTTCCTCTGGTAATAGATGACATTTACATAGCGAATGTCCACAATTTAATCATCAATATTCTTGTTTCGCTTCTACACTGGAAAATGGATGGTCTTTTAGCAGTAAATGTGAAAAAGAAGGAGCTCGTTTACATGATTTTCCCCTTACTATTCTCCTATGATGAGTATTGACATTTGTAATGTTAGCGAGATATTAAATTTATGGTATTTTCAAAAATATTTTATTTAATATTTCTCATCAGCGCATTCTGAAAGTTTTGCATATATATGCCGTTATTTTTGAAAGTGGGATAAGTCTATTTGTAGAGCGATATAAGTCTGAGGTTTTTAAGGGTTTGTGCTGTGATAAATTTCGAAATATTGGTTAAAAGTAATCAATTTGTATCATGCTTTTAACTTATAATTTGATGGAGCATGAAAATGGAATAATAAAATAATAATAATGCTGAAATTAAAATAATAATAAATCAGCGACTTTTTAGTTCCAAATTAACTCATACCACTTTCAAAATGAATATAACATATATTTTCGTACCCTCCAACATTACTCGATATTCAGAAATTTTTTTTTCTAGTGGTAGTAAACTGAAACAGATAAATAAATTAGATAGATAGAATTTTTTTGTTATAAACTTTTATCAGAACTTAAGAGCGTAATTAATGGTTTATTACTGATGGATAAAATTACTTTAACTCTGGATTATTAAAATATTAATACATTACCTTCGATGCTAAAAATTGCTCGATTTTGAATATCACTAATTTTTCAACGTTTTCCTTCAAATCAGATATCAACATTTGATATTGAAAAAATTGCAATTTCAAATAGCCCATTACTTTCTTGATACGGATTTATCCGACTTATATTAATTTATATATGCCAAAATTTTTATGTGAATAGTACTCTTTTATGCTAATTAATAAATGCAAACGATATTTTAAGTTACAAATCAGACACAAAAACGTACTTTCTTGAATAAACATACCTTTTTTTCAACGAATTGGATTTCTGACCCCCAAAATGCAGGGGATAGCAGAAATCTGGGGAATATTGTCCCAATAGTTAGGTCTGGAGAGCGGTCCAAAGTTTGAACCCCTTTAATGTTAATTTTACTTTTTGCGTATTTCGCTAAAACTGGAGAACGTTTTAAGCGAATTGAAAATTTTTTACACTCAATTATAAAATTTGTTAATCCAAAGATAATTCCACGCCATGAATAACTTTTAGTAAATATCTATTATTTTTTGGTATTTCATTTAAGAATGGTTGAAAAACTTTTGAATTGTAAGGTATAAAATTTTTTGGAACATTTTAAAGAATGTAATTTTATATTGCTAAATACAACATTTGAGCAAAATCGGTCGAATAGCTCCTGAGAAATTGAATTTCAAAAAAGTCCCTGATCTTATATCCTTACCCGGTGACCCTATACATAACAATCCTAATAAGTTTGTCTAAAAAATAGGACTATACTCTCTGCTTTAAAAAAAAAGTATTTTTTTTTAGCTTAGAGGCTGGCGCAGTATAGCCATGTCTGGCTCTTATGCCAATAAACTCTAATCAACCAACCAAAAAGGTCAGATACTTAAAATTAAATTTCTCAGAAACTTTACGACCGAATAAATAAATATTTACTAAAAGTTTTTTTTGGACAGCTCTTTAGATAAACGAATTTTTATAATTGAGTGAGAAAAAAAAATTCAATTCGTTTAAAAAGTTCTCGAGATATAGAGAAATACGCAAAAAGTAGAAATAACATTTAGGGGTACAAACTTTGAAGCGTTCTCCTGACCTAAGTATTGGGACCATATTTCTCAGGATGCGGCTACCCCCTTAAGCCATTAAGATTGAGTCTTAAAACGTGAAAATCCGATCATTAGATCAAAAGTTATTCAGGGTGGTCCGTTTCATATTTTGCGCACTGCGAATTAAATTAAGAAAAAAAATCTCAATTAGGAAATTTTTTTTATTATTGATTAAATGAAATTGATCAATGCCTATAGTAAAATAAGCCCCACAAAAAGAAGAAAAAAATAACAACCCGTTACAAATTCGAAATAATGTATAGTTTTGATAACTTATGGATTTTAAAAAAAGTCTATCATAGATTGGTAACTAACTTTTCCCAAGATTGTTGGAATTTTTTTTAAAAAAGTTAACTTCGACTCTAGAAGAGATCTGCACACATCAAAGTATGCAAAGATTTTGAAATTTATCTATGATTCTAAAAAAAATTTCAGCCTGTTCTCATTTAAAATATATTAGGTCTGAAAATGCGAAAAGTCAAAATATTTTTTTCCATATGTTTCAAATAAAGCATGTCTCGTACCTGATCGGCAGTATCTTTTAAAACTCTTTTTACTGTTTTAATAGTAGACTATTTTTGATAAATCAAAACAGGGCGGTATAGTAAAAGTTGACCAGCGAACTCTAACGAACAATGCCATAAAAATAGTTTCTCCAAAGGCATGTCTGCTCATCGGCTTTGAAAACTATCATTCAAAATAAAGATGGAATTTAAAAATTTTTTGAAATGAATGAATTAAAAAAAAAAAAAACGCAAAATCCCGGCTTGATTATTTCCGAGGAAAAGGAAGAAAAACACGAAAAAGCGACATTTTTCTATTATGCTTTGAGGCCAGTTCTTCGGTGCGCTGGTGCGAGGCTAGGTCACGGTCGCAGTGAATGGCTGGAAGTTGAGCCGCTACAAAAACTGTCTGCTACCAGAAAGTAGCCACATTTTCGCTACGAACTCTCGTCCAGGACAGACGATTTTTCCATTTGCTCCTTTGCTTGGGTCTCACGCTTCTCTTGCAACACCCAGGGAAAAATCAATTAAATTTTTCAAAACAAAATAATCATGAAGACTATTATTTCACTATTATTGGTGGCACTAGCAGCTTGTGGTAAGTCGAATTCATATATTATATTTTCTAGGATATTCCATGGATAATAACTTTTAAGAGAAATCAAGCTAAAAATTCTTTACAAGATGAAATAACTAACATTATCTAATTGTATGTTTTAACATTTTTATTTCATATTCTTTGAAACAAATGTAAAATATTTGGATTTATTGATATACTTTTCAGTGATATAAAACTAAAGATTTACTTCCAATTTACTCACTTTTATTTCATTTATTGAAGTGGATTTTATTACTAATTCGATCATTAAAAAGAACAGAAATTTATATATTTATTTATTTTGTTTAATTTTATTAGTGGTAGTTAAATTTTAAAATTTATTTTTGAATATGTAGTACAAGTTAAAAATAAATTAAGCTGTTAATTTCACAAGTCTGTAACCTTTAAATTTCAAAGTACTTGATTTAGTCATAGCTACCTTATTTCATAGTTTTTATCCACTTTTTGCTTCACAGAATTTATATATTTGTGCAGTGAACGGTCCTTATATTAAAGAAAATGCTCATATGGTTTTATTTTTATTATCTAGGTAATTAATGTTTAAACTATTCGGATAGTTTTTGCATTACCTACTAATTTTATAATATTTTATGTTCCTTTTCTTAAAAGTAAGAACAGAATTATTTGAGATTCAAATATACATTTATAAGTTATTTATATATTATCTTGAACACAAAATCTTTTATCGTTGATAATAAATTCAAATCATAAACGATTACTGAAATAATTTTTGTTTTTTATCAGTTGAGATTTTAATTATTTCTTTTTCTATTAGTAATATAAATAAATATTCTCATTTTCCACATTTCATGATAGGAGTTATAAAGTAGCTTTAACTCGTGTAATACGCCGAAATATGAGCAAACGTGAACTTTTCGAACTAATTTTTTTATTGGTCTGTTTAAAATATTCGCTTAAATTTATTCAAGTGTCCATAAGTTTTAATAGTCTTGATATTTGAATTAAATTAAAGAATTCATATATGAATATCTTGGTCAGAAATATGATTATATTTTACCCCTCTGACGAAGGAAGGGGGGCAAATATAAATTTTGGTGCTGCCCTCTATTGAAAATATATACAACTATATTTTGGGCTAACAAAAGAAGGCACCACCCTTAATTCTCAATTTCTTACTAATTTAACTATGGAAATAATAGTATTGCAATGAGTATATCATTTATAAAATGTTATAAACCATTAGTAGAACAATGTATGTAACCAATTTTTATCAATTTTTAAGCGTTAACAATGAGGATATATTAAGCATTCTATAAAAAGCACTCCACTTAATAATCAAGTTTTAGACTATATATTTTTAAAATGCAATCGTCAATAGACCAAATTATAGACTAATATTTATTATTTTTATGTTTCAACAATGTTTAAAGAAATGTTAGTCTTTTTATATAAAAAGTTCCACTTAATAATAATTTTTTAAAAAAATATTCTAAACCGTTAATAAATAGATCATTAGAAATATTAGACATTTTACAGAAAAAGTCCCACCTGATTATTAAATACTATATATTTAGTAAGTTTTTCTTATTATAAAAAATTCAAATGAATTGTATGATTAATAAAAGAATCTAAAATTTTTTGTTCAGAAAATATTTATATTGTTCAAAATATATGTGTTTTTACTCTGCCTAGAATACTATTATGATTGTATTTCAAATTGACCAGAAAGGAACTATTTCTATTTGGAACAAAAACGAAAAATAGATAAATTTGGAACAAAAAAACTAAATTCGATACTAATACACTGCAAATTAAATCCTATTTTGAGAAACTTTTTGAATTTAGGTCATGTTCAAACAATTTTGTTCCGAATTTCAATGTTTTTCTTCTTCGTTTGTCACGTTCATGTTTTATTTTTCATCACGTTCTGTTTAACATTGTTCTTTTGAATGTCACATCTTCAACTCATCTTTTTTTTCTTCACGCTTTTGGAAACTCATTTCCTCAAAGTATCACATATTTTTCAGTAATTCACTTCAGTACGACCACTGTTATTTTAATTAATGCATTTGTTAAAATAACGGAAATCGAACCATTATTTAAATATAAACTGTTATTTTAATAAACACATAAAATTGTGATTAGTAAATTTTTTTCCGTAAAGTCAAAACCTTAAAATTTAGGGAAGGTTTATCAGATACTTCCGTATTGAAAGAAGGTTTTCAGAAATATCATCACTGAAAAAAAATTATTTTATGTGAAACGATGCGTGTTTTAAAAATTTTAATTATAAGTTCAAGTTATTATCAAAAGTCAAATATTTTACTTACCAGTTTAATAAAAATATTATTTTTAATATAACTTTATGTTTTAATGATTTTAATGCGTTAACCCAAAGTCACGGACAATTTAGTTGTCGAACTATTTTACGCTCATGTAATCTTTCCATTGTGGTTGATATTTGTATTACACCTGCGTATGTGACGTATTATTCTGACTCCTGTAAATATTATTATATTCTAATCTAGTTTAATTTCCTATCGATTTCGTCATATGTTATACCATCTGGTTTCCCACTCATGATTTCACTGTTTGGTGCTAGGCCCCCTCTGCCCCAGATTTTACTCCCACTTCACACATTCCCCCATTATATGTCTCAAAAATCCGAGGAATCAGTTAATGCCGCGAATTTTTTGTGTGAAACAAAACTTTAAACATCATAGCTTAATGTTTTTAAGCTTTGACGTTGCAATTTACGAAAAAGTAAATTTTCTTTAAAAAGCATACAACTGATTTGTCTTTTCTTAATTATTTGATTGAGAATACTTTTGCACATTGTTCACACTATTCGGATCAGAATTACTTGACATAGTTGATTTGTCTTAAATTATGTGCTATTTTGCAGTCTTATTACAATGTACGGTTTTAACTGAAATGTAGCGAATGGTAATAATTGATTTTCTGTTTTCTTTAACTTTTAGTATCCTCTCTGTACAACGCGTGCGTAAAAAAAAAAGAAACAAAAAATTTTTTTAACAACTCAATAACCTTTGATCTAATATTTAGAATTTCAAATATTGAGATTTATAATTGCATATATTTTCTCCAGATACTATTTTCATGCTTCGAGGATTATCGCATAGCTGTGAAATATGGTTAAGAGTGATTATTAAGAATGCATATTAGTTCCAAAAAAAATCAAATCATTAAATCAAAAGTTATCTATAAGTTCAGTTTTTATATTTTGCGCACTGTACGTGCTAAGTCTTTGCACGAAAATTAGAAAACGCGACACTATGTGCAGATTTGTTGTACCCATATGGTATAAAATTGATCTATGTTACTAAATTAATAGAAATAGCTTCGAACCTGAATCTATTTACATGATAGTATGATTAAACTTAGATTTTTTTTTATATATAAAAAGGAAGGTTTTTTTGGAAGTTGATCTGTAAATTTGGTTTAGCCATTTCTGGCTCTTGCGCCAAAACTACAAACTAACTAATAAATTTGGTTAAGTAATTTGATATATAGTACAATGCAGACCTTCTTTTTGTTCTGTATGATATAAAACTTTCATACGATTAACTTTAGATTTTTCTTTTTCAAAATTTTTTAGGAAGTTGAACTGCAATTTTGGTCTAATGATTTGATTTAGTTCGATTCTAACCTTCTTGCATCGTATGATATGAAACTTTCCGACATGTTTCACATAAAAACAATATCGAAGTTTGATTGTAAGTTTTTTGAAAGTTGAATTATGGTGTGATTTTGTGCTATGATATAGTTCAATTTGAACTTTCTTGGCACTGCATAATAAACTTTTCTACACGATAATAAAAAAAGGATATTTAAGCTTAATTGTAAATTTTTTGAAACTTGAACTACAGTGAGGTCTCAGACTTTGATATAGTTCAGTTCGAATCTCATTTTAATGCTACATCAGAACTGTTACGACTTGAAAATAAATCAATTAGTGGTATTTAATTTTCTTCAAGATTATTAATAATGTTTAAATTTAGTTTTAACTTCATTACTACAAAAATGCAATCAGTCTTTTCAGCCTTATATTAAAAGACGACAGTATTTTAATTGCGATTTCCCGAGTTCAGCAATTTTACTTGGAGACACACCTCATCCTAACTTAATACCTTACCTGAAAGACATCGGATTTTATAATCTGATTTAGTTAAAATTTTAATAAATTGACCAGTTTTTGCATAGTGATTTTAGCCAAATTACTTTAGTTTTAATTTGGTTTTGATTTTAAACAAGTTTCTTCAAACTCAACCTTGTGTTTAGAATTTTACCAAGTGTTATAAATTTTAACCTAGTGATTAAGTTTTAACTAAGTTATATAAACTTTTAACCAAACTGTAGGCACGGTATAGCCAAATCATGGCTCTCGCGCCAAAAATTTACATCACTCACTTCAGCTTTAAATATTCAAATTACTTAAAACGTCCATATTTTTTTTTCAATTTTGCTAAAAAAGTTTTCAGATCGCAGCATCTCTGTAAATGACAAAATTTAGAAAGCGCAGTTTCCATTTGTGGAATCTTGTACAAAACACATCGTCTGTAATTTCTAACTTTCTTAAATTTAGAGGAAATAAATAAATTGTAAGCCCCTTTCTTAAAGCAACACGCCTTGCACCTATGACTCCATTAAATAAATCAACTTTCTTCCACTTTTATGTCACAGTTATTAAATGAGTGGAATCGATTTATGTGAAAGTAAAACTGGTCGAAGGGGGAAACCAGAAATACTAAAAAGTGACAACTTTCGGCTATTTGGGTCACTCAACCAGTTCCGTGACTCCTCTGTGATTTTAGCAGATAGAAAAATTGTAGAAATTATCTACACTATTCCATCCGAATTGACATGATTCGACCTTGTTCAACTTGAAGGCAAACTGCACTACGACATGCTACAAGAATACAAATTTTTTTGCCGGTGAAAACAAAAAAGAAAAGAAAAAGCAATAAATGGCAAAACTGTGCGGACTTTAATTTTCT